TCTTTTCTCCCTCTCTTGTCTCATGTCTCTTGTCTCTTTTGTGCTGGTCACTCCTCTACTCACATCGATTTGGACTACCAGATGTACTAATGAATTTACGCAACACCCTGCAAACGGCGTACTGGTCTGGCCTAGAATGTATGCTTCCCGGAAGAAAGCAGGGGGGCCTTTAGAATTTTAAACACATACAATGACGATTTCTATGACGAGTTTCTGCCTCTTGATTCCGCATGCTCTTGTATTAATACAGCGGCCTCGGCCTCGGGTTTGTCCCATCCATCACCTTCTTGCTAAAGCAAGAACTTTTTTTCCGGCAGTACCTTTTCCCTTCTAAGATATCAAACCGTGGCACTTCGGCATCAGCATTGATTCTCTACCACCATTTCATGCCTGGTTCCCATGTTCTCACATGTCCTCCTCCGCCTTAGCCTAATTCCATCCAACCCTTTCACCATCAGCCCTAGGCCATCCAGCACCTTAGGCCTTCAATCTAATTGACTTCTTACGTATCTCTTCAAGCAGTGTTCACTAACGGTATGATATCTATATAAACCCACCACCACTACCCAGTCTGGCGCGCATACATCCCAAGTCATGGATGCTCTAGGGTTTATCTGCCTCTCTATCCTCTCTTCTCTTTGCCAGTAGCTGAATGGACTTAGCGTATTATTGCCCACATCTTACGAGCTATCCATTGCAGAGATGAAGCGAGATCAGGCAGCGACAAAGCAGATAGTGGTGGAAATTCATAACCGGTAAATTGCCCAAGATGAGAGGGCCTTGTGGCATAAGATTCTGCTCAAAATGAGTACTATTTCATTCGTTCGCGATCCCTATTCCTTTTTCAAGATGCCTTTTGCCGAGAACTTTTAGCTATTCTATCCACAGGGATTCATCTCAACCGTTTAGGGCTGGTTGATAAACCGAGACTAGACGAAGAGTATATACAGATGGTTTGATGGACCTCTTAAGAAGAGACATGAGACGGCACAGTGGTCAGACGACCGCCAGCGAGAAGCATTGCATCATGAAGTCATGAGCTACACTGGCATTAAATAGCTCTCTTAGACAGGGGAAAATCTCCAAACCCACATTTATCTTCTGCCCTCGTCGGAACTTTGCTTCATCGCAACAAGTGAGATCTGTCCGTCCCGCTCCCGCTCCCGCTTCCGCTCATCTGGGTTAAGGTTCACTTACCTTATTGCACTGTGTGCCAAGCTCCATGATTTCAATTCGTTTTTAGGGAAGCCGGAGACTGCTACATCTTCTCATTGCTCCAAGTCTACTTGTTCTTTATCCTTTCTTAGTAAAGTTCCAACCCCCTTTCTCATAATCTTTGTCGAAGTCCTTGCTTCTCGTCTTCTACTTGAGTCTTTTACTCTCTTGCATCACAATGTGACCACGAGTCCTTGCCTCCCAATCGTTAAAAAGAAGTGTCCTACTACCTCGTCACACTCATCAAGAGGTTATAGGTCTGAGATCACACCTCTCACCTTTCTTGTATGAAAGCCTTCAGGCGGCGAAAAAGTCTCTACTCATCGAGGCGGGTGCCACCTTTAGGCAGCTTCTCGAGGCGAGTGCCATCGACTCACCCTTGAGGTGAATATTATCTCACAGGGTGGACGAGTTCTATGTATTCACCTTTCGAGGCGAGTGCTATCCCTCAGCATCCTGAGACGAGTGCCTTCTTTAGACGAATGCTATCTCACAGCCCTTTGAGTCAGGGGGCATATGTTCACCTTTCGTGACGAGTGCCATCTCCAACTTGTTGAGAAGGATATCAGTTCACTACCCTTTGAGACGAGTGCCATCCTACACTTCAGGCGAGTGCTACCTATTCACCTTTTATGGCGGGCACTATCTCTCATATTATTGAGGCGAGCGCCATCCAGTTACCCCTTGAGGCGAGTGCCATCGTATATTTGGGGCGAGTGCCGTCTAATACTTGAGCCTGAGTACCGTCCCAACTTGAGACGAGTGCCGTCCGTCAACCCTCGAGGTGAGGGTCGTCCCAACTCGAGACGAGTGCTATCCCATTGCCCCTTGAGGCGGGTGCCGTCCCATAGTTGAGGCGAGTGCCAGCTCTCAGATTATAACAGCTCTTTCCTGCTTGACCTCTCTGGCTTTTCGAGATTTTGACTCTCACCCAGGATAATCTCCCCTTCCACCCCCTCCACAGACCTCTTCCTCTTCAGCCAACCTAACCTCTCACAATTCCTCGACTAGAGAGCGAGATCTTCGCCCATAGGAGATTAACATCATTACACTTCGCTATATACAGCATACCAGGTACGTGGTTTCTTACTCATGCTATGTATCTTACTTTTCGAGTCTCAACTTATCGCGGAACTCTTTTCATTACGACCAAACCTGAATATTCCACCCTCTATCATTTTTTTTCTATCACATCATCGCATCCCTACGCGTTTCTGTGTTTGTTTCTTCCTCTCAAGCACACCGCGCCTCTCAACTTTCATACTGCCCAGTGGTCAACACAAACTCTCTCAAACCTTCCTCTTCTCAACTCCCTTTACTTGACGACTCTCTTCCACATTCACTCATCGCAACATTAGCAACGCAACAATGGCTGGCAACTCTTGGACCGTCGAGGCCGAGAAGGCCCTCTTGCTCTCCATCCTCACTACTGCCAACAGCGGTGCTGGCATAAAGCCTGACTGGGCTAACGTCGCTCGCCGCATGAACCGCCTCGGCTACAGCTACACCGTCGCGGCCCTCAGGTGAGTGACTATTTCTTGATACAGTTTCCGGCAGAACTAATCACAATTTCTCTCACAGTCAGCGCTTCTCGAAGTCTCTGTTCAAGCCTTTCAACGAGCAGATGGACGCGACCGCCGACATGCCTGCCACCCCGGCTCCGGTTCCTTCTTCCCGCAAGCGTGCTGCCCCCGGCTCCGGCACCAGAGCGGCTAGAATCTCCATTGCCGGTGGTTCTGGTGCGGCCCAGGCTGCCAACGAGATGGCTTCGCTTGCCATTTCGGCTGACGATGGCGTTGACGATGCTGAGTCCGACATGGAGGACTCGAAGAAGCGTGTCAAGATCTTTCACGAAGGTCTTGTTGCTGCTCTTCATGGCCAGCATATTGATCTCACTGGCAACGATACCGATGCCAATATGGAGAACGCCGCTCCTGTCTCTGGTCTTATCGGTCAGCCGGTTGACCTCACCGGTGACCACCAGGTCGAGTTCAAGTTCGAGGGCAATGGCACCATGCCCTCTTTCATTCGTGCTGCCCGCTCGCGCAGGTATGTTACTACGGATTCTTGTTCTATTTTCTGTATTTTCACCTAGACCCCATTCTGGTCACCCCGGCACTTCAGATGCTGAGTTTTTGTTTGTGTTTTTGTGGCTCTTCCAGCTTCAACAGCACAGAATCGCTTCTCTTACCTGTCCTGCATCCGTCTGTTGTTTACCTTTACCCCTTACCTTCAAATTTGACCCCACTACCTACCTCCTACCTTCCATCATTACCTTCCGTCTTTCCATATTTTCATCTTCCATACCTCACACCGCGAATATCTACAATCAAAGCTCCAATTATCCTTCTACTCTATTCCCACATCCCAACTTCCACAAATAACACAACTTCCTCTCTCCAAACCCCTCAGAATTTTAAAAAATGGACCTCACTAAGGAATTCCGCAGCTTGACCATCAACGACGCCCCTGCCGCCGAGTCCCGCTTCAAGCTCAGAGACAACTTCAACGGCGTCAGAAGCGACCCCAAGGCCGATCCGTCCGTCAAGTTCGCTCACGTCATGGATCCCGCCTAGTGGGAACTCGAGAAGCGTGTCTGGACCGCCTGCGTGAACGGTCGCAAGTATCTCATGGCGATCAACGCGCGCAAGGCAGCCGAGAAGGAGGAGGCTGCTGCTAAGGCTGCCGCTGAGGCTGCTGAGGCTACTGAGGCTGCGGCTCAGGCTGCGAACGCGATGGTCTTGGATTAAATGAGGACGGGAGGATTGGTTTACGATGAAGCTCGTTTCCTTGGATTTACCCTGCTCTCATGACTTTAATGATGGGCGGGGAAATTTGGGAAAGAAGGGTTTTCGTTCGCCGTCTATTTTGATTCCTTCTTCATTTCTTGCTACTGGGTTTGACGGCAAGGTGGTTCGACAGAAACTGGCATTGTTTTCGGCATCAGGAACGGTTTTCTTTTCGCTTTTTCCCTCTTCTCTCATCAGCTTTTCGTTAGTTTCTCGGCTTCTTCGTCTCTTTTCCTTTCGACTATGGACACCTTTTCTTCTTCGCGACACCAAAACAAACGACCGCCGCCATTGGGTTGATTGCTCTGGAGTGGCAATGGAGGGGGAGGAGGAGACCGCGGGGGGATCATGAGATAATGGAGGCTGGGATTTGACGGAACCTGGAAAGGGGGGGGAAAGGGCTTTTGGGTTTGATTTCCCTTTTCGCCGGATTGGCCAGGTGGCTTATCGTTTACAAGGAATCTCTGGCAGAGAGAAATGGCTTCAACGGACTGATTTGACGGGGTATGGCTGAGATTACCGCCCCTTTTGATACTGATTGCGGAGGATCTTCCATCTGGCTCGTACAGAAGCAGGCTTGCTCTTTTGCTAGCTTTTCTTTCTGGCCGGAAATGGAAGTCATCATCTGCTATCCTTGAGTACACTGATTGCTTTGTGAGTGAAGACCTGGTGTTGTATAACTTCGATTCTTACGACAACGCGATTGTGAACGGTGGCGAGGAGATGAGTGTCAGGGTACTGCTCACATTGATGTCGTGTGCCCTCGGCCTCTTTGCCGTTGGCCATCATTTCGTATTACCAAGATCGTCTCAAGCACGGCACTCGTACGTAATCTCAATCACTTCATTTTTGGGAATCTAATCACCGTTTGACTGTCCCAGACGATGCTGCCCTGGTAATTAGAACCATGCTCCCAGAATAATTACCCATCATACCCCCGAACGCCATTTGATCCATCCCAAATCACAAATATGTTCGCACCCGCACATTGCCATCTCACTCGATGCCGCGAGGCTTAGGGCCACGGCTATCCACTCTCCGTCCCTCCGCAGGGCCCTTCTTCTCAGGAGCCTTCTCCTTCTCCTCGGCCTCGCCCTTGCGCTTGGCTCGAAGTGTCTGGCCCTGGCCCGCGAAGTGCGGACGCTTCTGCTCCTCCAGCTCGCGCTTCTTGTCGTCATCGGTCTTGACCGGCTTGATCTCGTAGCCGAAGAAGAGCTTATTGGGCGGAAGGCGGAGAGGCATGGGGCCGTTGTTGTTCCGGCGCGGGATGGGCAGAGCGGGCGGGTTAGCAGAGGCGCCCGCCACAGGAGTCGCAGGCTTGGGCGTCGATGCCTTGCTGCCCTTCTTGCTGAGCTTTTGGCCCTCGCCGTAGAATTTGGAGTTGGTCGTCGCCGCGCCGGGGGCGATGGCGCCGTAGTTGATGGACTGGGCCATGGACCCTTGGCTGTGGAGCAAGCCGCCGGCCGGGAGGCCACCACGGCCGCTTCTGGGTGTGCTGGTTCCGCTGCCTTTCTGTTGCCTCTCTGGCTCGACGTAGCCGACTGGTGGCGCAAAGTCGACCTCGACGTCGGTCTCGATCAGGCACACTCCCATCTTGTCCGTCTCCGGCTTGACCTCGAGAACCGCTACGTGATAGATCTCGTCATTGTACTCGAAGTTGAAGACGTCACCCTTGGTGAGTGCGGCGAAGTTCCTAAATGCCTTCTCCAGCACGGCCTTGGGATCGCTGATATCGAGGAAGTTGGTCGATTGGGGCTGCAGCTTGACTAGCTTGGCGAGCTCAAGGGAAGTCGTCTTGATCTGGATCATGTCGCCGACGTCCAGCGAGAGGGTTTGCATCATCTGATCTCACACGTTAGCAACGCCACCTCCGCTACGGCCAGCGCGGGCCAACGAGAGGATACGAGCACGAACCCAGTGGGGAAGGTATGCTCTGCCCTCCTCCGCGACGAACTCCAACACACCGGCGTGTGAGTGCTTTCCCTTCTCGCCATTTATAATTTCCATGAGCAACGGCCATTGCACGTGGAGCTTCGAGACCTTGTCGAGGGCGGAGGGCGGCAGGAAGATCTTGGAACCATAGTTGAGATCGGGTCGCTCGGGACCAGGTGCCATGACCATGGGGTAGCATCGGTAGTATTCGTCGAATCGTTGGACGATCGGCCGGCGGCCACCGCGTGCGAAGTTATACATGTCTGCTTCGTTCTGGTCGAAGCGATACTGGGAGCTCAGAATTAGCTGGGGTAAAGAGGTGAATTGGACAGCTAGCTTACCATCGAGCGGGGGATATGTTGAGTAAAGTATCTTTTGGGCAGCAGAGAGAGGAAAATGAAAAGCAGTAACGTTAAATCCGATGTGTTGTTAAGCTACCTTGGGCAGCTTTCTTTGAATCAGAGCAGTTGTGGCTGCTGCAGGTGGTGAAAGAAGGTAGCTTTGGCCTTTGGGTGAGATGAAGGAGGACCCGCGGTTTACGTGGGGCCGCAAAGGCAACTGATGAATGACGAAACCCACTGGAAGTTCGACTAGGCTCCACCAAAAAATGACATGCCCGATACCCCAGTCGGTACCTTAATGCCCATGCAACTTTGTAGGGAATTCGAGGTATCCGCTCTCAGCTCTCAGATGCATTCCAGGAAACTTAGAACGGGACGTTTGGAATTAGAGCTGCTGCATCCAGCCCACCTAGAAAGAAGCTCTTTTAAGCCAAAGCTCAGCCAGCCTCGCCTTACTATAACTCCTCATCTGTCACAACCCACACCATATCCCCAGGCGTAGCCAGCCCGAATCATGGCCTCCAGACACTCAGCAGCGCGCCCGAAAAGGGCAGGCGAAACATTTGCGCGAACGCACCACCACGATGCCGAAGCAGACGACGGCCACGACTCCAAGAAGCTAAAGTTTGACGTCCGCAACCCCTCCGCCCTGGCCCCCGATGCGCCGGAAGAGGACGCCATCCTCGATGCCGACGTTATTGGCGGCGGCGGGGGAGCGACGAAGCGCGGCGCCGTGAACCTGGACGGCTACGACAGCGACTCGGACAACGAGCGCAACTTCAAGTCGCGCGCCAATGAGAAGCATAAGGGCAGGAAGGATGGCGATGCGGATTTCTTTGGCCAGTTGGATAGCTACGATGCCAAGGACAGCGGCGCGAACGGCAAGGGGGGCAGGGTTAACGAGGATGACGACGAGGACGACGACATGTTTGCCGCGGACGACGATGACGAAGAGAAGGAGGGCAAGGCGGCGCAGGAGGGCACCAAGGCGGCAGGGAAGGATAAGGCTGTGCGCTTTCTCGACGATGCACAGATTCAGGGTCAAGAGCTGCAAAGTAAAAGCGGTGGACAGATCCGTCTAGACGACGAGGAGAGCAGCGACGACGAAGAAGATAAAGAGCTGGCGATGCAGGAGGAGGGTATTGACGAGGAAGTCGGGCTCGGCGGCTTGAAGCGTAACGCGCCCAAGGTTGAGGCGTTCAACATGAAGGACGAGCAAGAGGAGGGTCGCTTCGACGAGGACGGCAACTTTATCAGGAAAGCGGTGGACCCGAACGCCGTGCACGACAAGTGGCTCGACGGGTTGAGTAAAAAGGATCTGAAGAAGGCGGCAGATGCACACGAGAAGCGCGAGGCCGAGGCGCGGAGGTTACGGATGGAAAACGACGACATCTTGACGACGGACCTGCTCAAGGCGCTGATCGTGAGGTTAGAAAGGGGCGAGACATCCCTTGAGGCCCTGGCGAGGTTGGGCAAGGGGCAGCCTAAAACCAAAAAGATACCCAAATGGAAACTGAAGAAGCAGAACAAGGGTGGCGGCGATGAGACCATGGACGTCGACAAGGAAAAGGACCAGCTCAGTCCAGAGCAGCAGAAGAGAAAAGAGGCTATTGAGGCCATCACCGACGCGGCGGACAAGCTGCTGAGCCGCGACCACGCCGAGATTTACGACGAGGAGAGAGAGATGCTCGTGCGTGAGTGGCAGCGGGAGACGGGCGAGCAGTGGGTTGAGCCGGCCAAGGACGACGCTGATGACGATTTGTCTTCGAGGATGTGGGAGTTCCGTTGGACGGATGGGCGGGATAATGCTGAGAAACAAAGGCCGTACGATGGGCCCACGATGAAGGCATGGCAGGACGCCGGGTACTTTGGTGAGGGCGTTGAGTTCCGGCTGGTTGGTGACGATTCCTGGACGAGGGTTGCGACGTTTGAATGATCGTTCCGCGATTTGGAACCCACTCGAAAAAGAAAGAGTACCATGTCACAAAGACGGATGAATGAATAAAAAAGCCTTGCATTCCTGGCATCGTCACGATGCTACCATTCAAACATTTATGGTACATAATCTATCATACGTCCTAGGGGGTGGCCACCTATTTTACTGCCCAAAAACGCCCAACATGGAAGACCCTTTAACACGCTTAACTCAACTCCATCGCATCGCCATGGCCATTAGTGACGGTAAAGTCGACGGCACCGTCGTTGCCAATCAAGCGCTTCTCCGACTCGGACACGAACTTGACGCTGCGAGACGGGTCGTAGAAGAGCGAGAAGCTTCTCTGAACGTCGGCAATCTCGACCTGCTTCGCCCTGCGCTTGGCGCAAATCAACTGTGAGGTGGTGATGAGGTTGCTGGCGTAACGCAGGCCCGCTTCCTGGCCAATCTTCGTGAGCAGCGCCAGAGCGTCGGCTGAGACATCAACCTCCTCTTCTTGAGCTCTGATGGTGATGATCTGCTTGATCTCCTCAGGGCTGTAGGTGTTTGTGTGGATGATGACGACACGGTCCAGGAAATCGAGGGGCAGACCATGGGGGCTGCGGTAGTCGGTTCCACGGATGCGGGAATTGCCTCTGTTGCTGGCCATGATGACAATGGGTGCGAGATCGTCTTCCAGGGCGCGGTTGATGTATGAGAAGCACTCAATATCGAGCATGTGAACCTCGTCGATGAACAACACGCCGGGAACAATCTCGGCCTTGCCCTCCTCCTTCCACTCGCCGACCTTGGTGTTGATTTGGTCCCTGATCTCGCTGCGGATCTCACCAGTGTCTCCAGAGAACAGAGCCAAGAAGCCCTGCGTTCTTGAGTTGATAACATCAATCTCGTGAAGAGTGACGGTGTGGACAACCTCCTTGCGCTTTTGCAGCTCACCGTCTGGGCACTGCAGGAACTTAGTGTCGACGCCCATGGCATCGTAGTCGCGCGAGCGAGCATATGACCGGCCAAGCTTTGTAATCTTGCCCGAAGACTTGTCGATGGAAATGATGTCACCGGCCATGACACGCTCCTTGGTCATGGCATCAATCATCTTGGCGCCCATGTCGTAGACAGCTTCCATGTCGGTCGTCTTGATCGTCAGCTTTCCCTGCTTGGCGCCGCCTGTAACGCTTCGGTCGATCTGGATTTCGACGACCTCGCCCTCCATAATCTCGCTCTCCTCCTTGATACGAACACCGATCGACTTGCGGAATGCTTGTGTGAGAGCTTCGGTCTTTGACATTTCGAGGGAGAAGATTTCGGATGAGGCGAGGGAAGTGAAGGGAACATCGGGGCCGAGGGACTGAGCCATTCCCATGGCGATGGCGGTTTTTCCAGTGCTGAGAAGATGAGAGGTCAGTTGTACAGTCCTCAAAGGACACATGTGGAAGAAAAGGCTTACCTTGGGGGGCCGGCGATCAGCACAGCTCTTCCGGCAATCTTGCTCTCCTTGATCATCTGCAGGATCACGGCAGCAGCTTTTCTGGCCTTCTCCTGTCCAACCAACCCCTGAGATGCCGCTCTGGGCTCCAGTGTCGTGCCATCAACGCCCAGGCCGCGGATGTGGGAGTGAGCCGCGATGAGGTTGAGGCCCTTGAGCTCCTTGCTCTCGGAGACGGTCATGACGGGCTATAGACCCTGTTAGCTACTAGTGCGTAGACGCAGACGAAGAGGAGCGCATACCGCAGCCATCTTGGATTTTGGTAACCGACGACTTCGAGAAGCTTGTCGCAGGGTTGAGTTTTCGGCAATTGAGGGATGTCAGTGGGAAGAGACGGGCTTGAGGTGATGTTCGTGGATGAGGCGCAAAAAGCAGTTCGTCAATTGTCGTTCAAGGCTGAAAGAGCTCGGCCTTGCGCGTTCAGAAATTTAGGAACGCGCTTACCTCAGTTTGAAAGGGCTGAGCGTGGCGCGGCTAGCGCTTGGGCGCCACAGGAACAAGCCTGTGTAGGTAAGCCAGGACGTCAGAAAGTCTACCTTAGTAGGTACAAAGCAGGCACAGTATCCGTACCACCTCGGTTTAAGCTTGACGCCAGCACTTAAACACTCCATGTCAGGCCCAGAGGAAATCTCCCTAACTTAACTCTATTACATACGATAAAGAAGTCCTTAGGTTGATTTCAACAAAGTCTTACACAAAATGTCTTAAGCAAGTTCCTGGGCAGGACTGCTCCAGCTTATCCTGTTGCGACCTGTTGCCAGTCAAGGGTGCGATTATTGCTCATTATTTTGAGCCATGTGTCGAGTAGAACCTCGACAAGCTCCGGAGTCTGAATGCAGCATCTAGATTGTTGTCGTGAACAATCAAGTCTTTGTTGGTGCTAAGACAATGCAGCTACACAATCTTGTCTTACATTTTGAATTGCTTGCTTCCAAAAGCAGCCAGGATGCCTTGTTCTTTGTTATCTAGAAACGACCGATCGACTACGGGAGGTGTTGATCTTCGCTTGGAACAGTGACATCTTGAACGGATATCTGTTGCATTCCCATCCAAGCGCCTTTGGCAATATTCGCTCAGAACGTTCCATGGTCGTGGCCTCCTGATTGTGCTCGAGAGGGGTAAGTATCGGTGCCCAAGTGCAGGATCGATAGAAAGGTCCATCGGCGATGGTGGGAAAACGGCAAGCGACGTACGAGATCAAGTTCAACTTGAACTTCGAAATGGCGCTAATGCCCATAATAGCATCAATGTTTGCTTATTGGGATGCGCCCTCCCCCACCCAACGTTGACCCCTTCTTGGGCAATTGCCAATGGATCAATCAGTTTTTGTCTGGCCCCCGGAAAAAGCAAGCGTGGGTACCATCCTAGCTCGGAGTCCTGCCGGCAAACGGCCTCACCCCACCCACCACACCTTGGTAATTGTTCCTTCCATCTGAGCAATCTCTAATGTAAGGGTTTGCGGGCAGGCCAGGGTGCTTGCAGCTTGATTGACGCAGCATTATCACAATCCGCGAAAGCCGACCGAGAATAGGCAAGCTATCGTCTGTGTAAGTCTATGTTCGAATGGAGTATTCCGATAAACAGACGTATTGATGACATACTTCGCTTGGAAGGAAGTACCTATAGCTCTGCTTGAAGGCATTCGCAGCACTGTATGTAGGTGTATTCGTCGTATACCTATGCCATCGGATATGAAAGCGACCATGATTTATTCCTCGCTAACGGCCAGTCTCACAGATGAACCCCAGGCCGAAACCACGAACGTCTTGGCCCTCTAATAAAATGTGCAACACGTTTTACAGCGAGCCCGTAAGCCTATGGCTCGTGAGGCCAGCTCAGCGTCAAATACCCTGGAATTCTGTGAAAAGGGAGCAAACCTGGAACCTAATGCTCTGCTGGATGTTTGTCTAAATCTCTCTCTCTCTCTCTTTCTCTCTCTCTCTGAATTGTCTGTGACTCCCTGCAAGTTCCTCGATAGAATTCCATCACATCCAGTCGTTTCCGCTCTCCACCCAAGTCCTGACGCCAGCATTGAGCAGTTCCGCCTACGGTACTACGTGAAGTTCACACCGAGCGCAGAATACCTACTTCGGCTTACCTTGCTGGAAAACAGGTCTAATAAGCCCTGCATATCTAGCACATGTGCGTTCCATCACCTATGTTAATTACTGCGTACACTATCTTTGTGTGCGTGCGTCCTCATTGACAAGGAACATTACTTCCCCCAACCCACCTCCCCTCCCCAAATGCTGCACTTCCCAGGTTGTCAGGCCAGTGTAATTAATCTAACCCCGACCTACCTAATCCAACCACGCGATCTGCGTGGGGCGCGTTTTCAGCACGCGACGGCACTGACCGCCCAACTGAAGGAGGTGCTTTGGAACAGGGATTCAAATATAAAAACAGGAGAAGGAGAAAAACCACTTAAGCAAAAAGACTTGCCCTCAAATAGATGCTGGCAACTCGGGTCACTGTCTGTACCTTCCTTTTGAACCTCGACCTCAAAGCTGTCCAATTATCAATAAGACCCCTTAGGCGAGCCAACGTAATCGATGGTGACGCGCTCCTTCCCGTCATAGGGTTTCCCTCTTATACCTCTGGGCATCTCACCCCACCTCGCATCTTGCAAACAAAGACCCTTATGTTCCTTGCCTCACCTGCCTGCCACCTGCGTACACGCAAACACTTTTTCTACCTACCTACCTACCTACCTACCTACCTACCTACTTACTTATGCGCACCCCTTCAACGCACCTTCAACGCACTCTTCGAGTATGAGGCCTGGGCATAATCTCACGTGCAAAGGAGATGACAAACATAAATCGACCTTCGATTGAGAGTCCACACCTCGCCCACCATAACCATGTCGCCGGCATCCTTTCGACGTTCCGAAGACAGCGGCCATTACAGTAGTCGCTACGACTACAACGATCGCAGGGATGGCGAAAGAGACCGTCTAGGTCGTGATTCTCGATATTACCGTCGCTCCCGATCACGATCCCGTTCGGGGTCTCGGTCATCACGATCCATGTCGCTATCCCGCTCAAGTTCGCCAGGCAGGCGGACCAGAGAGAGAAAAAGAGACAGAAGCTGGGATAGGGACCGGGACCGGGGAAGGGAAAGAGACAGGGACAGAGACAGGATGAAGGATCTGGACCGCGACCATCCGAGAACCCAAACGGACTTGTTCAAGCCACCGCCGTCCACCGCTTCACGAGCTACCATCCCTCCTCCTCGTGGCCCGCCCACAAGAACGTTTTCCTCGCCAGTCATGAGCAAGTCGGGCATTTCAATAGATACCCGATCCAACCGTGGATCAGAACAATGTAAGAGTAGAACGTGATTCACTTTAGAGCGCCGATACTAACCGTTGCATCAGCACCATGGAAACCCCCAGCGCCATCGACGACACCAGCACCTTCAGCACCACCGACCCCTCGATCCGCGAACAACACAACAGCAACGGTCAAGATCACCGCATCTTTACGACAACTGACTCGGCGAAGTAACGAACAAGGTGCAATTCAATTGCGGAAAGATGTAGTTGAGGCGCGTGCCAAAGCTCGGGACAAAGACCATGTCCAATCGCACGGCAAATATGCCGAATTTCCCTCCTTGAAAGACTACCATCGAAAGCTTGAGAAGAAAGACGCCGACGACCTAGATAGTTTGGGAAAGGAGATGAAGGATGCGGACCAACAGTGGCAGACTGCGGCAGAGGCATTTGCTGCTACTCTGCTTCAAGCTTTTACTGAGCTGCAGCAGAAAGACAAAGATCGTCGCCTCGTTGCTCCTAGTGCTCCGGACGGACTCGAGGCACGGCTCACGTCACGCCTCGATGCGCTTGAGAACCAACATAAAGAAGCATCTGCGAAGCAGCAGAAACAGATGGAGGAACTTCGTGAAAATCTCTCGGTTGAGAGTGCCAAGCGAAAGGCTCTTGGCGTCGAGAACGAGACGCTGAAGAAGAAGGTTCAAGAGCTCCAGGGCCATTACCAGTCTCTGAGTTCCAGGGCCGATGATCATGACACGTCCATTAAGCAGCTGCAAGAGCCAAAGCCAGATGTCGTACCGCCTCGTGCACCTCCAAAAGAGAATGGCACAACATCGGAGGACTTGGAGGCAATCAAGACGCTCATCGCCCAGCACGAAGACCTACTAAGCTTCCTGAAGCTTCAAGTATCGGAGCACGACAACAAGCTCGGTGAGATGGATATCGACCTCATCAGCGACAGTTGTGGTGCTATTGCGACAACGCTGCCGAGACTGGAACAGAATTTCAAGCAGGCTGCCGACGATGTGATTACGCTTCAGTCAAAACATATGATGCTCGAAGTGGATGCAGAAGTCATTCGATCTAGTGTCCAGCAGTTGCGGTCTGACACGCAGCGAGACATTCAGCAGCAACGTTCCGATATCGATAAGATCCAGGCAGGCACTGAGCAGCTCGGATCCGCGACTGCCCAACTGAGGTCCGGAGTAGAGTCCCTCAGAACTCAAATGAAGTCGGAAACAGAATGCTTTAAGAAAGACGCTCTCGAAATCAAGTCTGACACTGAGCGCCTGAAGACAGAAGCCCAGCAGCTCAGATCCGACACGGACCACGTCAAGAAAGATGTTCAGAAATTTGAATCTGTCGTTGAACACATCAAGACAGAGGCTCAGCAATTAAAGTCGGAAATGACGCAGCTGCAGTCGGGCGTGGAGAAACTTGCTTCGGATATACCACGCCCACCCGACGGCGACAAGTTCCTGGCGGTCGGAACCTTTACAGCGATGAACTCCACTGTTTTCAAGACATTTAGTACTTGGATCGAGGACTTCAAGAAGCGAGTCGACGTCGTAGAGCGCCAAATGCTACCGCTGCGGACGGACGCGGTTGCCTGGACTCAAGTAAAGACGCTCGAGAAAGGATCAGACCAGAAGTCGAGTCGTAGTACAGAAACCAGCCGCCTGTCGACCCCAACTAATGACTTGAAGGTCGATCAGTACGAAGGCAAGTTGAAGGACTACGAAACACGGATCAAGGTGCTCGAGGCTGTCTCGAGGCAGAGTCCGCGTCGTTTGGAACACGATACTTCAGAGCCAACCAAGACTGCGGATACACCGACCAAAAGGCGCGCAGCCGATAATTCAGCTTCAACCAAGCTCACAATCGACGCATTGAAGGAGCAGTTGTCGATGGTCGATCAGAGCATCAAGGCAATCTCTGAGTCAACAAAGTTAACAAGCGAAAGCCAGACCAGGGACTCTCACAGAATTCAGGTACTAGAAAGCCAGGCATACGATTTCCGGGCGGATCACCAGCGCTTGAGCGAGTTTGAGCAACGATTCGCGACGACAGAGGAGAAGGTGAAGGCTTCCGAGGACAGGATGGACTTTCTGCAACACAACATGATGAATGTGGACGCGCAAATTAACAACTTGACGACGGAGGCCCTTTACCAGGCTATTCTGCAGCACATTGACAGATACCATCCTACGGAAGCCGCAGTTGGACCCAAGATAGATCAGATGGCCAGGCAGGTGGCAGCCTATGAGCAGAGACTGCTCCTCTTGGAGAGGCAGATAACGTTGAACGATGAGCCTGCGAATAAGAAACGGAGACTGAGCTCTCAGTACGGGCCGCTGGCCGTGACCAATGGAAGACACTGAGGAGAAAAAAAAGGGAGTTGATGCATCGCGCATTTTGAGTTCAGCAAGATACCAGGGAAGACGGCGCAAAGGATCCTGTTACGATACCAAGGTTGTACTCTTCGCATGGACAGAAGAGAGCTACCTTCATAGGTAGTGGTCTACCTCATCTGCGGCTAGCTACCATACTTTGGTAACTTGCCTGTAGAAATATCTCTAGATTAGATAGAGGCTAGGTACGCCAATGGCAGACGCCTATATTGCAACTACTTGGGTTGTTACATTAACCGCTGTGATGATGCAACATCTGTCAACAGGGTAAACGCCTCTCTAAGAAACCCGTTATGTGTGACGGCGCTAGGTTGTCTTTGTTAAGAAATTCCAAACTGCTTATACTAAGAATGCGTCGGCTCCGGAGTGCAGAATGATCCAGGCAAAGCCACAATGAAGCACATTATCTACGCGATGAGCAAGGTACACCTGTACAAAGGTCGGCAGTCTTCGTAGGCACCTGCAGCTTGGTGAAACTGCGAAACAAACAAGTTGACAGAACAATGCATGGCCCAAATCGCGACAAATTGGCTTCCCCGAGTGGAGGTCACAGTAAGTTGAGCCACAAGAACTTGTCGGACTTTTTTTCCGGCCCATCCTCTATACCTAGGTAGCCCTCCACCTTGCCATGAATGATAGAGGCATGTTGGATAAGCGCGGCGCCCCCGAGCTACATGAGCACCTTAGATAGGCTTAGGTCGCGACAAAAGGTAGGTAGGTGGTCGAGATTCCCGCCGCTGAGTCCGCCCGTAAGCGGTCCCGCCTGAGATAGAAGGCGGGCCACAGGGCAGGCAGACACGTCCATTGTTCCTGCCGCGTATCGCCATAGACTCACGGCTTGATGACGTAAGCTTGGGAAGTTGACTGGCACGGGTACCTGACCAGATCATTCCAGCCCTTTATTAGGGTATCAGAACTAAGGAAGGTTCGTATTTCGTCCCGCGCAACTGGGTGGGTGCGGATGTTGGCTCAAGCCTCAAGTTGGGATACCGTTCCCTCAGAAAGCGAGCATTGAGTAAGCACGCGCCGCACCCAATTCTCTGGCGGGACATTCACGGTTCATCTAGATGAGGTTAGGTAGGCACGTAGGTAAGCATGGTAAGGTATCCGTGAGGTAAACCAGATCGCCAGAACGTCGCACTTTCAATTCCTGTCCTGGTTGGCGCACTGGACACCACCACCCCAGCTGCCGTCTCGCATCATCTGCGTCTAGCGGTTGCCATCCGGGCCCGTCATTGGCCTGAATTCGCCGCGAGATAGCGCGTGTCTCTTTACCTTGCTTGCCTTCTTTGCCAATCCTGCCTTTTTCCTTCCCTGCTAGAGTGTGTCTTTACCTGAATTGCTGTGCTTCTGACCTCCATCCCACTTTTGAGTGCCTTCCATGTTAGGTTGTCTGTCGTACCTACATAGGTACACCATACGGTGAATGAGAGGTACCTATGCACATAAGGTAAGGTACCTAAGATGAAGGTTTAACCCATCCCATCCATCCAACTGGGCGCACCGATGGAAGTACCAGGTCAGGCTCGGCATCCACCTTTTTTTCCCCCCTCCCCCTTTGCACCATCCACCTGGGCAGTCCAGTAAGGTGTGCCAGTCCCCCCACCCAGTCCATTCACTCAGTGTAAGCTGAGCACTGAGGTGAGGTGAGGTCCAGTGCCTGCCAGCTACAAGACTCCACGCTAGAGGTAAGGTACAGTGGGCAATGTCCTGGACCTCCCATCCACGTCCAAAACCCACACTACTCGCGAGGTCCCGTCCACCGTCTCTCCAAAAGACCCGCGACCTCGACCCTTTCCAACACCATCTTCCTACCTTGACCCTTGTTCCACCCCGTATCGTCGACCTGCGGCACGTCGTCCCGTCCTCAACCCCGTCTGGATCCGGCGCAGGTTGCAACTGAGGTGTCAACTGCTTGCTTACCTTCCTTACCTACCTTACCTTGCCTCACTGTGAAGCGCAGGTTGCTCCCTCTGCTCTGCTAGGGGCGACGCTCTTACACTTCCTCGCACCGACCCGAACCTCACCTCAACTCGCGCGTCTTCGATTGACGCAGCTGCACCTCACCTTTGAAGGCCGCGTCGCTACCAGTGAGCTTGGCTTGGCTTCGCTTCCTTTCGCTTCGCATCCCATCCCAACCCATCAAATCAACCCCCCAAGCAGCACGCCACGTCGGGAAATGCGCTGCGGCTCCTCTGACCTCCCGCTCCAGCTGCTGCAAGGGTTGATGTTCGGACGCTGCAATTGCATACACAACTGCCACGACTACGACCACGGTCACGACCCCGACTGCCACCACCACCACCACTACCGCACCAACTCTCCGAGCACAACAGCAATCTCGCTCAACGCATAACCCACGTCGCGATCGCCATCGTCGCATCATACCAACATCGCACCCATCGCTCAGAGCTTCATTGACGCCATCTGCTCGCGTGTCTTTCGGTTCCCCTCAAAAAAACACCCCAACCCCGACCGCCTCATCAACCTGGGTACCCCCAGATAAGGGCGGCATCGCACACCCACGTCACGCTATCACGACATATTCGAATCGGCGCCCAAACCGAGTCAACAACCCCAGCTTGCCTAGTTGTCGGCGCACATTGCCGCCGGCTCAGATCAATACATTCGTGGGCTGCGGAGAGAGCTTTGTGCTCTACTCCGGCGCCCATTCCACCCCCTGCGTCACCCATCGATCTCGCATCGCCTGCCAACCATCGCGGGTCTTTGTTGTTTAACCTCAATTCCGACACTCGCTATCCAACCACAATCCATCCACCACCATCGCACCGCGCCATTCTGTCCTCTTGTCTTGCGCTCCCGACCGCGCATTTTGCGATCCTTGTTTCCACATGCCCCCACGGCATGCAAACACCACCAAACCATGGAAGCAGCGGCGAAAAAGGTCCAACTGCTGGCCCAGCGCATCCTGCCTGATCGACCGCATTCACTGTCCATGAACCCCGACCAGCGCTTTCGAGTTCCTCCCGATCACAGCAAGACCTTTGAAGAGTTCAAGTATCCGGCTCTGCAGTACATGACGCTGTTATCCGACGCGGATCGCGGAATGCTACTCACTCGCGCGTATCATGATATGCGCGAAGAACCACCGATCCCACCAGCCGTCAAAGATTCGAACGCGAAGATGGAAAGAAAGAACGTGACTAAGCTGTCACTGAGTGATTATAAGAACAAACAGAAGAAGGTATCGGATTCTCCTCCCGATTCCGGATCGACGCCGAAAACCGACGCCTCGCGAAAGGAGAGGAACGTGGTAGAGAGTCGGATTGATCGCGAGCCCAAGAAGCCGGACGCATACAGAAATCGGGAGCTGGATGCATCAAGGGACATCAAGGCGCATAAGGCGCGCGACGGCGCCCACGATGAAAGGTAAAACCTCACGCCCGTCTCTTCCAATGTACTCTATGTCTAGAGGCTGACTGACCCATTCTAGAACGAGCAGACCCGACGCAAGATCCCGGGCAGCACAGGATAGCAATGATACCCCAGAGAAGAGGAAAAGAATCGCGGATGTGGACGGCGAATTGCGACCTCAGAAACGAGCGAAACCTGAAGCGAGCACACCGCTCGACGAGCGATCGCGGACGCCTCGAGACGATACGCCGAGAAGGAAAGAGATACACCCATCACAAGACAGGACGCCACAGAAGGACGGAAAGTTGGGCACAAACTCATCTTCATTACCAAACGGGCGATCTGCTTTAAAAACAGCCTTTGGCTCAGGCGCGAACAAGTCTCCCATATCCCGTGCGCGAGGAGACTCAATCAATGGCAACAAACCCAGCCCCTCTTCGAGCGGTCGGGCAAGAGCTGATACGGCGTCTTCGAGGTCAGCAGTTCCGCCGTTACTATCTCCACTACACCTACCGAACGAATCCGATTCTCGATCGAAAGAGAAGAGACGAGACGATCCTCCCGAGCACAATAGGCCGCAGAAATTCTCACGAGCAGAACCACCTCCGCCTATTAAGAGACCGAAATCTCCCTTGAAACTTCCGGAGCTACTTTCCCCGACTCTTCCCCCATTGCTTGAGGAGGAATTGGCCCGGATGAAGAACACACCGACGAAAGGCTCCGACGCAAGCCAAAGAACACAACCTCCCGATTCTCCTACAAACGGCAAGAGACCACACGTGGTAGTCAAAGAGGAGGAGGACGACCGAAAGGAGATCAGAGGGAAGGAAAAGCCGAAGGAAAAGCCTCGCAGGTTTATGGTGACACTGAAGTACAGCAAAAAGTACACCAAGTCGGTGCAGAGGCTACTAGCCCTGGGACCCCCAAGGAAAGACATCAAGAAGGAGCGGTCAGTGAGCATAGAGCCTCCGCCGCCGCAGGCACGGAAGCGGCCGATTACCAGCACCGAGAATGTTGGCGATTCAATAGCGGTGAAGCGACCTCGGACGTCGGAAATAACGAGCTCCAAGCTGAACGCGCCATCGACACCATCGAAAGGGGGTGCTACATCGATGTCGAGGGTAGCGTCAAGCAACTCGGTCAACACCCCTGGAGATGGTCACAGCTTGACTCCCGCGCCGCCATCATCAGACCGAGACCGGCCGCAGACCAGAGACGATAGCAGAGAAGCGGCGAATCCTCACAGGGTCCAGGCGCTCCGCGACCGCTGGAACCGTTTTAGCAGACTCGGCACCAAGCTGAAGCATGAGCGCGACATATTGCTAGAGCGAAAGCACGGGGACCGCGGCGCTCCCGTGTCGGACTCTGACATCAAGCTCAGCATGATGCTCGGATTGGAGACGGCGATGGCGTTCATGGTCAGCTTCAGAGCGTTGTTCGAGTCAAGGCGGATAGAAAACAAGGCACAAGATCCTAAGCAGTGGAGTAGCATTCTACCGCTTCTGAATGTCATGCGCAACGATGTACGAAAGAGCAAGCCTTTGGAAGCACTGTTTTGGCAGATGCAAGGCGTGATCCACGAGGAGCTCATCAAGTGCTACTGGTCTCTTGACCCGGCGACGCACGCGTTACACATTATTGGCGCAGAAAGAGGTCGATCAAATGTATGGAAATCGGCATACGACTCGGCGGAGCGTGTTGAAGCCTCGGCTATGCGCACCAACATGGGCCCGTGGACGAGTGTGGAGGAAGCTGTATCATCGGCTCTCAAGATTATGCGGCGCTGGGCGCAGGAGGAGGGCGTCTCGTGGCGCGCCGAGGTCACGGTATCAGCCGCCAACGGAACGTTGTCATAGGAGGTCGACGACGAGGGCGAGGTGTCGACTCTGGTCGATTCCTCCTTTACCACGGCGGAGAGCTCGTCGCCTCCGCGTGACGAGAGCGTCGCGAGCGATTCGGTACACCCACAGACAGAAGGATACGGGCATTAGGGCCCTCCTAATGACATGTATTATGAACCAAGTCATCTTTCGTCCTTTTTTTAACCCCCCCCCCCCCCCCTTTTCGGTGGATGACGGGGTCGGAGGCTGGGTTGTGGCGAGAATGGCGTTTTCGGTCGAGAAAGTATGGGCTGTAGCCCATCATGTATGAAAAAAACACAGTCACCCTGAGTCTCTTGAAGCGAGCACGCACACTTTTCTTCACTTTGTCTGATATCAAGTCCAACTCGACGGCCTTTCCTTTTTCTCTCCTGTTTTATTTCTCTCTAGCTTGGCGTTCAAGGAGGACAAATCAGGGCCCTGTGTCTCTACAAACTCTGTGTCTACGGACTCTCTATGCGTGTGTACATATAAAAGAAGAAGATATCCCTCGGCCGGCTCCCCTCCCCCCTTGCTTTTGTATCTTTCGGGCTTGATGTCTTGTAGAAAGGCAAAGGCTTGGTTCAACCAGGGCATGGAGGGAGGGTAGGTAGTACGAAACGAACGGCCTCGTCTCAATTGCGAAGTGGTAGTGGTGGTACCCAGTCGAGAACTCCTCATTCGAAAGGTCAATTCAAGAGAGGAATCAATACCAATTCAAACAAGAAAGCTCTGCGATGCCGTGACATGACAGTAAGAAGCACACCTTCTCTGAGGACCTTGGTGGAAGCGGCGACGCGAGGAAGGGGGGAAACAAGATATCAGACGCGGACGTGGAGCGACCCCGCACTGGCAACCCCTCACAACTCGAAGGGTTGTCACATCTCATACCTACAAGGTAGCTCGCATAGATAGACCTCATACATGATCTGACACGAAAATGCCATGTCAACTACGCGTGTCCACGACATGATCTGATTGCTGATTGAAGAATCAAATGTTCGAGTTACACTTTGGTCACTTGGCATTGGCATGGACTGTGATGGGTAGGCATAATCTATTTCATAAACGTCATACGGACATGTATTCGGGGAGCGTTTGTTTGTAGGAAAGAAACAACCATAATCCTCCCTGGCCTTTGCGGCCCTCCCTCCTGAAAGACTTGCCCATCTTCATTTTACTGCTTTTGTTTGGTCGTTGGGTTATCATCTCATTAATGGACACTTTTGGTCCTGTTTCCCCTCCGCGACAGCCTCATGTGTACCGCACATTTATTTGGAGGCGTCAACCTTGGCAACGTGGGCCAAGAGGTCGAGGACACGGCGAGAGTATCCCCACTCGTTGTCGTACCAGGAGACGAGCTTGACGAAGTTGTCGTTGAGGGAGATACCGGCCTTGGCATCGAAGATGGAGGAGTTGGGGTTGCCGATCATGTCGGTGGAGACGACGTCGTCCTCAGTGTAGGCCAAGACGCCTGGAGATAGTTAGCTTGTGTTTCGGTGATTCCGATGGGTTGAGATTAATAGCTTACCCTTGAGGGGACCCTCAGCAGCCTCCTTGATGGCGGCCTTGATCTGGTCGTAGCTGGCGCCCTTCTCGATGCGGGCAGTCAGGTCAACGACGGAGACGTTGGCGGTGGGCACACGCATGGACATGCCAGTGAGCTTGCCGTTGAGCTCAGGAATGACCTTGCCGACAGCCTTGGCGGCACCAGTGCTGCTGGGAATGATGTTCTGAGCAGCGGTGCGGCCACCACGCCAGTCCTTGGCGGAGGGACCGTCAACGGTCTTCTGGGTGGCAGTGTAGGAGTGGACAGTGGTCATGAGACCCTCAATGATGGTGAACTTGTCGTTGATGACCTTGGCGAGGGGAGCCAAGCAGTTGGTGGTGCAAGAAGCGTTGGAGATAACGTCGGCGCTGCCGTCGTAGGTCTTCTCGTTGACACCCATCACGTACATGGGGGCATCAGCAGAGGGAGCAGAGATGACGACCTTCTTGGCACCGCCCTGAAGATGGGCCTTCGCCTTGTCGATGGTGGTGAAGACACCAGTAGACTCGACGACGTAGTCGGCGCCGGTGTCCTTCCAGGGGATGGCAGCGGGGTCACGCTCAGTGTAGAACTTGACCTTCTTGCCGTTGATGACAAGGTCGTTGCCATCCTGCTGGATGTCGCCGTTGAAGATGCCGTGGGTGGAGTCGTACTTGAGCATGTAGGCCTGTGATGATTGTCTGTCAGCAAGTTTTGTCTCGGCTGTTTCTGCATGATTGTGTCACGTCGTGTCATTACAACAAGCCCAATCGAAACCTTGGGGCAACAAAGTCGAGAGTGCTAGTCCTGACTCTTTTGCCGTGGGTACCGACGAAGCTGGTGTTATCGTGGCAGACGTGATATCATGATGGAGGGGTAAAGTGGGGTGATACTCACAGCGTACTTGGTCTCAATGAAAGGGTCGTTGACGGCAACGATCTCGACCTCGGGGTGCTCGACGGCGTTGCGGAAGACGATACGTCCGATACGACCGAAGCCGTTGATGCCGACCTTGATGGGAGCCATGTTGTCTGATGTGGTTTGTATTTGGGGTATGTCTGACGGTTGAGAGAGTTAGTTGAGTTTTCTCAGGCGTTGGTGAAGGACGGGCGTTTCCGATATGTCCAAGGTAGGCGGGGTATTTTTCGCGGTAGCAGGGTGGGGTGATGAAGACGTGAGGTATGTAGAGCTTGAGGGAGCTATCGAGAGCTAGGTCTTACCTTGAAATGGGATCACGTCGGGTTATTCGACGAGGTCAGAGATGGATTGATGTGTAGGAGAGAATTTTCAATGACAGAAGAAGGAAGGAAGAAGGAACGGAAGTGATGGGAGGTGGTGGAAGGGCGCGCGAGATATAGTAAATTCGGTTGAGGGAAGATGGTGGGGTGGTCCTCCTGCTGGTCGATCCAACGCAAGACCGGCGGCCATGGCAAGAGCAGGCAAGAGGCAGGCAAGAGTGGGAGTGGGAGGTCAATGGAAGGCGGACCTGACGCAAGTTAGGGAAGTACCAGGTACGGCCACTCCGCAGGGGGGTCCAATGGGGGGGATCCAGACGCCCCGAGAACGGTGAGGTGACTCGGCGATTGAGGGTGGTGAATTGGTGGTGATTGCCCGGTCGACGCCAGGGAATTGGGTGAGTGACACACTTTTTCTGCTATCTGAGCTGAGGTAGGAGGTACCTTTCTTACCTTACCTCACTTTGTGCTTGACCGGGCTAGGTAGAGCTCCCCCCCGTAACGCGTGTCTCGTAGTCCGTACCTTTTTCTCTCCGTATCTCTCCAATACTACCTAGGTAATTAGGTATTGTTCCTCCTCTTTCTGAGTACAGAGTCCCTCTCGTTGCCTCTCACCCACTCAGTCCAAGCAGGTGCCAGTTGCGTCTTTTTACGGACATGGCGGGGCATCCAGCGGGAAGGCGCTGCTACCGCTTGTGGCGTTAGTATGATACCCTCCGGGTACTTGATGGTTTTCTGGACCAATTGCTATGATGGGATTGGAACACAATCACGGTGGGATGCGATGCGCTGTTGTTTTACCAATCCAATCTACATAGCATTCACAGTCCGTCTTCCCTGCGGCTTGCCATCCCATGGAAGAAAGACCCCAAGCTCGGATGGGATGCAGGCGCAGGCTGCATTGTTTGACGGGTCTGTCGTGACGTTCGATATCCCCCCCTTCCTTCTCACTACTTTTTTTTGACACCTCAACTTTGTCTGTGCTCCAGCCTTCACCTTGCATCTTGCTCGTATCTCGGGCATCTTATGATGGACTACTCATCAATAACTTGTTTTCTCTCCATTCCAGCGACACTCTCAGCTCATCCATATCCATTTCTTCAGCGGGTCTTGGCTGGTGGTGTCACTTTCATCAGACAGACCGGACCGACCAACGACTCAAGCAATAGCAGGCATTATCAAGGGTCAGGAATTGTCAGGTATGGAGGGGCATGGAGGGGCAGCTTGTTCCCTTGGTTTCCAGCGAGAAAAAAAAAGTCAGCTACGGCACCTTATCCCTGGCCCCTGCTCCTCATTGCTGGCCTGCCCCTCGTTACATCACTTTCGCAGCTACCCCCCGGTCACAGCAGCAGCACCAGGTCCGATACCCCCGTCGACTCACCTTTTGCCTCCCATTGCACGCTTTGCACGCTTTGCTCGCTCTCACACCTCTCACACACTGCCACTGCCACCTCTATGCAACATCTGCCCGTGGCGCCGTGGCACCGTGGTCCACTCCAAATTCTCGGGCGTCTTTTTTTATGTGATCTTCTCACCGTTCCAGTTTATTTTGGTGGATTCTTGTTATTATTAAACATCCTCAACTGGATTCAAGACACGACATGCCACAAGGTTCAAACAGCTCATTCGCACACCTCACCATTCATCCCGCGCCAAAGCTCCCACGGCCCCTCCTCCTCCGCCTCCCATCCCCCCTAGTCCTACACGACCCTGAGGTATGTACCGTATGCGTATGGTCCGCTCGCTCCCACCGCACTCTCTTACTCAAAAGTCTAGCTCAGCTTACCTTACCTTTACTGTTAGATATCGAACAAAAAAAAACTGACCCCAGCTCCATAAATCACTCAATGCTCCATCGCTCAACCCGCCAAGCTCGACTGAGCCCAGCTAATGAAACACGTTGCCTGGTGCATGAGGCACTTCCAGCCTCGACTCGGCCGATTTTAGCTTAGAGAAATATGATGATCGAGAAGGCCCGTTTACGACTCCGTTCTCGGTCACCCCCAGATGGACCGCACCATTTTTGGCTCCGTCATCCGTGTTGGAGCAAAGGAGTCATCGAAGTCGAAGAAAACAGTTTGCGTGCAAAGAATGGTATCCATGCTCGTCCAAACCCTTCGAATTCAGATGGAGAACTTGTACAGATACCTCGCCTACGAATGCCATCCACCCATCCGTCAATTCACCCATGACTGATGCCAAATGTACACGCCACCCAATTCTGCCACTCACAGTCTTGGCCGGCCGCTTCCAATGCAAAGTCGGTCCATCAAAACAGGGCTGGTGCGTTCCGGCGCTTGGTGGGGCCCGAGATCTGCCTCTCGACTCACCCAACCCAATGAGCTACCAAGCGAGCCCGGCTGGCCCGACACGCCGGAGCATCACGGCTTCGTCGGCCCCAAATGCTCCTGGCTTCGCCTATAACAACTCTCAACTTCCGATGACATCGGGAATGACGATATCCCTACCGAGGATACCCGCAAACGTCAATGCCGCGGCCTATGTGTTTACCGCTGCCCACGGAGGCCTGCATGGCCGTATCGTATCGCCAGACGCCCGACAGGGCCCAGGTTTGGCAGTTGGATCATTTTGTATGGTCCAAACATCGATCGACTCAGCATGATATGACTCTACCGTCACTCATCCATCCGCTACCAACACCGTACGACACCAGCCCCCCGGACGAGCTTCTGGCCGTACCACGGTCTAAACCAACATGGACAAGCTATCTCTCGGCCAAATTATTCAGCAAATCTCATTTCGGTCTGATAAGGGGTTCCTAAAATCTGACGACTAGATATTGTCAGATCATGGGACTGCTGTGCCACTGTGCCTAAGGCCTCAAATCCGCCCTACGAATTGACGGAATGACAGCCGTGTCATCAGCCTTGTGGCTAGCACGATGTCGTTGACGCTCGTCCCATCCGCAAGCCCACATCATCACGACTACGTACTGTACTCGCCGTTCCCGTTCCCTCCCTTCCCAAGTCCACCTTTGACTGGGTACACGAGACTTACATGGACCACGGCAGCAATGTGGCGGCCTTGCAAGAACCGAGCTTTCCTACAGGCCCCGTTTGCCGCCAGCCGCCCCCGGAATGATGCGTCTCTCGTCGAGGTTCGACCCGAGCTACCCCAGATTTCCGCTCCGGTTCCTCCCGATTACCTGCCCCGATGCCGTACATTAAGCTACACTTTGCCGAGCCGGGGTACAGCACCTCGTGCCTGGGGATCTGGAACCTCGTCTCATCTAACAGCGACTTTACACTAGCCTCTGAGATTCTTCATGAGCCCAGGGGTTCGTATCTAACGCCCAGTGGGGTACACTTGGCAGCCCGTTTGTACGAGGCGGGCGCGTGTAAGTCAGGTAGCCGGGAATATTTGGTGTAGATGATTCGCCATAGACCTCTGGACTTGCATAATCTGTGGATTCTTCCATTGCGCCTAAGGAGCCCGGGCCAGCTGTCTATGAAAATGTTCCGGGTGATGGCATTCGTGAGATATCGTGAAGGTGAAGCTCGAGTTGCCGGCAGAGTGTTCATCCTTGTCTGACGGGCAAGACCCGGGATGTGGCTATATGCTTGTCCCGTACAGTCACGGAATACCGGATTGAAGTACGAGACCATCTGCCTCTTCTATAGGAAATCATGACAGGCCAAACGGCATCTCTCGGTTATGTCTCCTCGAAATATCGAGTTTCGGTGAGCTTTCTTTGTGCCTCGGTGAGCGGTGACTTACACCGAGCTGACTACCCCACCAGCAAATTGTGCAGGGTTTGACTTTGACGTTGACTTATGGCATAAGTTGGCCCAAGCTCGACATAGTGGGCTGGTGCACAATTAATGCCGCGCATTCGACTTATGCCGTTGTGCAGAACTAACGCTTCGATTTCCATGATGATTGTCATCTCAAATTATGCAGAGATGTCCCCCACGCGTCCCCCACGAATCCTTGGAAGGCCATGGGCCTCGAACGCAAGTGCATCAATGGGATTGAGGCAACCGTCTCGCGCATACCATGGCAGCTCGATTTCTTTTCCTCGAATTATCTCATTCAACTGCTTGCCGTGGAGCATATACGGGTGCTATAAAGACATGTTTGCAAGCGCAAACGTGCTTGTCATCCGGTACCTGAGACGCAACCTTGATGGGCGCCATTTCTGGTGTTAGTGACCAGCCGACTCTCGTCGTAGGATCGCAATAGGAGAACATGTCGCAGCTCAACAGGCTCACGGACTATCTCAACTCATTCTCTTGAATCTTTCAGTACAGAAGTTCGTCTCATCGGAGTAGAACACAGGCATCCTCTGCTCACCTCCCCGTCTTATTACTTCTGGCACCGACCCTCCATCGACTTGACTGCAAGATATCAAAGTCTACAAGTCTTGGAGAATCTCTGACAGCTCCTACATCTACCCGTCATAGGTGAGCCACGGGTTCACTCAAGCCTATGTGTACTTCTGGGGACCGGGCAAACATAGTGGTAATAGGGGCCCCCTGTCTTCGTCATAAAGGTCTTATTGGACATACCGCTATTCACATCTCTGTTGGCGACTCATCCCGAGCTCTCTCTGAGCCTCCATGCGAATCTGCGTCGTGTATTTCTCAAGCGTCGATGAGACCCCTGTTGCCAACATATGGTGGTCAACTACCTAGGCGTGCCGTGCGTTTTCATGAGAATTCCGGCCTTGATCACATTCATAGTGTTTGCTTAGCTTACATCCCGGCAATGTTCATCAATCATCAGGAGGGTCATGCGATGGATTTGATGAGAATGGTACCAGGAATAAGTCTGTTAACAGCGTCAATATCTCGCTCCGGCTAACGCACGTCTGGCCCCGTCTACTTCTTACGCAATGGGACGATGTAAGTGAATTCCAATGGGCGATGCGGTTCAGTTTCAATCGAGGCGTTCCCAGATCTTCCCTGCTACGGCGTTCACTCACTAAAAATGTCAACGCTGCCAGGTAAAGAGCTTTCTCTAAACGTTCGACGCCTTCATGTCATCCGAGCAGTCAAGAGTAGAGTGAATGATTTTCACTCTTCACCAACCGGACTATTTGAGCACGATACTTTCTATCAAGGACGACGGATCAGCGTAAAACGGACCTTCTATGCCAAATCAATGCTAAACAAGCTGACTTTGTACTGCGAACGGAATCAGGTTGCACCACCACCATGCGCTCTATTATCCTCAACATCAAAGTAAAACCGTGCTCCGAGTTGCTGCCTCTATCTTTCCTTCTCTCGAATCGCCTCGAAGCCACAAGACTATCAATTGTACGTCGGTGCGACGCCGTTGATTTCCGCAAATGGATCCCAGTCAGCAGCATGGGGGACAAACTCCATGATTGTGGCAACCTTGGTTGACAACTCCTCGCCATACACCTGCTTGATGAACTCCATAATCAAGTCCAGGCCAGATGTAACCTAACCCACGCATCAGTCAGTACAATTCTTCTCGATTCCTCCACACTCTCCCACTTTTCTCTCGCAAAAAAGGATCAAATAGTAAAATATCAAAAAAAAGCAACTTACACCCGAAGAAGTCCAGACGTTCCCATCAACAACATACCTCGCCGGCGAAACCCACTTGGCCAGCGGCGCCTGCGCAGTAATCAACCCCCAAGCCGCTTTGTTCGTCGTAACCCTCCTGCCGTCCAGCGCGCCCGCCCTAGCAGCGAGACTGGCCCCCGTGCAAATCGTGACGAGATACTTGACCCTGGGCGCGTGCTTCCTCACGTACTCGACGATCGGCTCCAGCCCGGGGGCGCGCACGCCCGGTCCGCCGGGCAGGATGAGCACGTCGAGGTCCAGGTCGTCGTCAAAGGTGTCGGTGGGCTGGAACGTCGGCCACCAGGACGAGTTGTAGGTGTTGGAAGTCGGGGACACGGGCGCCGTGGTGACGGGGTCGAGGGTGGCGGCGATGAGGTGGAGGTTCACGTGTCGGTTGTAGGCCACGAGCTGGAGGGCGTCGATGGGGCCGATGAGGTCTAGCATTTCCATTGCCTGGAAGAGGACTGCGCCAAAGGTTACGGGGAGGGTCGTGTTCGCGGCGATGCTGCGGGTGTTGGGCGTGCTGTGGGAGGGGGTTTCTGCGATGAGGGCGGCGGCGGCTGAGGCCGCGGTGGCGAGGAGGGAGAGACGCATTATGAGATTTGTGAAGTTTGGCAGCGCGGCAGATCTGCTGTTGAGGTCGGAGGGGGGAGATTGCGTGAGATGTGAGGTCGAGATTGGAGTTTCTCGACGAAGAAACAAAAGCGAGAGAGAGAGAGAGAGAGATGAACGAGTGAATGGAAAGTCCGAGAATGTAACCCCGGGAACAGGGAGTGCTGGCTGCTTCAACATGATTCAGCAATCAGAGCAGGTGCTGTAGAAACATATATACATGAATATCCCACCGGGAATCTTGGTCATGATCACGAATATCCCGGGTGTGGGACGAACGCAACCAAATGACACACGCCATCAACACCAACTATTGTAATTCCGAACCACCAGGAGGTCCTGGACTTGGTTGGAAGCATTCCGATCCCGCAGGAACGGCCGGGCCGGGACGAGATCCAAGCAAGGGGAGCTTGCCAATATACATAGACTGAACATCCATCTTGAGCTATCTTTCACCAGAAAGGGGCACGTCACGACGGGGACTCTGGTTTATCAGTTGCGATAGGAGGAGTTTGACAAACTGTAGGCGGCAAGTGGATACTTTGTTTATCTTGGAAGAAAAGTTGAGCATATTAGAGTTTTCGCTGTTCTTGGCTAGTTCTCTTGGCCCTTGTCTGCTTTTCTTTTCTTACCTTTAATCTGAGTGATTTGATCCTGGTTCGATGCCACTGAGAGCGATTGATTGTCTGGCTCCTTGGACAAAGAAGCCAATGCGTGGAAGGTAACCCGGTCAGCAGGGGAAATGGTTGGCACAACTGCAAAAGAGGGTAATGTTTGTTAAAAGGGGGTGCCATTGCGGCGGAGAAGCCTCCGGTTCTACGTAGTAACGTTGTTTACCAAGCTTTTCCTGTTTAATGTCGGTTGGCGACGCCCATTGGTTCTTGACTCATGTGTTGCGGTGAGAGCTCCCAACCGTCGAGACCTGGGATATATTGGCTTTCAGTACTCCGTATTTCTTCGACAAAGCAGCTTGTCAAAAGAGATGCTATAGTTTCGCCGCAAGTCGTCGGTCTCGGCCACCACCTCTTCTCTCGCAGACAATCGGGACTCTGGTAAAAGGGTTACGCCAAGCCGAAGGATCAGACCGAGGTACATGGCCGGTGGGACGACAAACCCCCGGGACGGCGGAGTTGATCCCTGGATTGCCCCGCTCCAGGCGTATCCCCGAAACTCAACTCAACTCCGGGCCGAAGGCGGATGGTCGCCGGCCATGTTATTTGGCGGTCCCGCGTTTCTATGAATTCACCGTGTTACGTAAATAGGTTGGCTCGGCTGTTTATCATTTCTCCATCTTGGAGAGGCATTTATTACTTTCCTTCGATGCAGTGTCACTGGACAAAGTCTGTGAGAAAATGAAGTAGTCGGCCATCTCAAGTGGCAGCACTTCATCGATCAGTGTAATCGAAGTCGTCTTTCTGGATCTGAAGTTTTCTCATGTTGATTAGGAAATTGCTACGAGGAACGCCCTCCTTCAGGGTTTTCATAGCAGCTTTGATGTTGTATTTCACGGTATGCAAAACCAAATTATGAGCGCAAGACTATCTTGAAGGTGGTATCTCTTAGGATAGCTACACAGTGTTATTTAAGCTCTCCTATGTGTGCGTCCCCGGCACATGGCATCAATAGTGAGGGTGTTGTAGGTAAAGTTTACCGTCGAAATCACACTGTCGGAGAACTACCTATTCGTTTATAGGTAGAAAAAGGAACCTGGCTCTCATCATACGATAGGTCACGACACAGGGTTTAGTATGGCTGTGCGATAGATCTACCAAGGTGTGCTTGGATGGCCGTTGCTGGTGGCATCCGGGCGCATTCCAATGCGTCAGTTTGAAGACCAACAAATGGGCACGAAGTGGCATGGCGGCGGGAAGCTGCACTAGAGGGTCAAGTCCGCTATGGATGTCTCACACTTGATTCGCATTTCTCGTCTCTCGCTGAATCACGGTACTAACATGTACTGGGTAGCAGAAAGCATGCCATGGCATCTTTCTGCGTTTCTTGTTCTACTACAACAAACTAAAAAACGCTCTGATACCAGAACCCATTCGCTCCGGCTCAGCTTCATTATTGTAACAAAAAGAGTACAAGTATGAAAAGTGTACCCAGAATCTAACCCATCTTCAGTATCTCTATTCAAAACACTCGGTTTTTGTTCCCATGTAAGGAACCCCCTAACCGACGCTGAGATGCGTGTACTCCACCAGCAAAAAACACAATCTCTCTCTTTTCTAGTTGCGCAAGACCATTCCCAATACGCCGCCCAGCACGCCGCGTACACGGGTCTGGTTCTCATGGATACAAGTGAAAACAACAGCCGTGCTGGCGGCGAAGACGAGCGTCTCTCTCCACTGCTTGTCCATGCCGTACCGCCGCGGCAGCAGCGTGGCCATGGCCCGCGGGGCGACGAACAGCGCCATATCCTTGCGACGACTGGCGGACTCGACAAGGACGCTCCAGCCGCAAAGGCAGCACCCCGTGCGGACGCAGATTCCCGAGTCCATCCTTTGCCTAGCGGCCAGGTCCTTGCCGAGGATGTGAGGCCCGATTCTGGTACGGGCGAGACAGACGCCGTAATAGAATAAAGTGATGTAGGCTCCCAAAAACGCCGCCGACCTCGATGATGATAGCAAGGTCCGTACGATGGTCTTCTTGTTGATAGGCCCCCGAAGAAGAAGCGCCACACTCAGGGGTAGATACATGGCCATGGACCACTTCCACGACCGATAGAAGCGGCTGATGGCATGGAGCTCGCACGATGGGCCGCAGCCCATGTGCACCATCTCGCACGGGATGGGAATTGACTTTGACGGATCGCCCCATTCGCTCGGCCATCCGTATTTCTCACACATGCCTTGTAGCAATTCTGCCTGTCCACTTGTACCGTATGACATGTCGTTGGCACGGAGCTTCTGGAGGGCCTCGATCAGCCGCATGTCGACGTTTGCCGCCGAACTGATCCACTTGTTGTAGCCGCTGGGAAGCCTTTCGGGATGGTAAAACCATGCCCACATGATGAAGGCACAAGAAGTGACGAACAAGCAAGGGTCGGTGAACCTGCCGATGTTCCATTCAGCCTGTACGAAGTTAGTGACGGTGATAACGGATAACGTCAAGATGAGTGATTGGTGCATACCTTGGTCCAACTGCCTTGAGCTACACGACGCGCTCGCCTTCGCGCCCAAACTTCGCCAACAAGAACGTCCAGGGCTCTCGTCAACGTGAATAACGTCAAGTCGAGAGTCCGTCCTCCATACCGGGTCTCCTTTAGCTGAGCTCCGGGCGGACTATCCGATTTCTCAGGGGAAGTGCCTGTGAAGGCCGAGCTCTTCTTGGACTGCAAAAGCTGCAGACTGAACCAGGCAGCAATAAATGTGGCGCTCCATCTTGCGAGTCTAGATGTGTGTCAGTACTAGACGGTTGTGAACAATAAGAGAATTAAGGATCGAATTCCGCTCACCTAGCTCGAGTCACCTCTGTGAGACCTTTGGCATTGCGTTCGAATACACGTCGAAGTGGCTCCTATCAGAAGGTGTCAGGTCTATTTAGCAAACTGTTGTAGTTACAGTGACTGGAACTCCAGGCCACCTTTCTGAAGTTGCAAATGTTGCTTATCAGGAACTAATGCAAGGGACAAGAACTTGTGTACACCTAGGAGAGAAGCCAGTGCAACTCTGAGGTCTCCATCACCATGTGTACTGGATGCCTAGTTCACAGTACTTGAGACCAAGTGAAGCAACCACAGCCCTGGTATCGGCAATTACGATTGTTTGATACTTCACGCTGAAAGAAATGTACATACCTCTAAAAGTGTACTGCCACCAACAAGCAAGGCACAGAAGGTTGGAAACCGTTGGGGGTCTAGACCGGCGAGGACTATCCGCCTCAGTTGCGCCACAAACCCGATGCACCCGTTCTCCTTTGCAATTTGACGGCGTTTTTTGGTAAGGTATTGCATCAGCAACGTAAGGACCCTCGGAGCAACAGCGGAAGCATATCCTAGGAGGTAGGCCCGAAGGAGGGGCCGTAGGATTGGCGGAATTGCTTGTAGCTCGACAAGGCCATTCCGTCGAATTTGCAGCTGACTCCGAGGTAGCATTGCGGGAAGCGAAGGTGTGACGGCAGCCATGAGGCTTCGGCGTCAGTGCCGGTAGTTGAATTGGAGACGGTTCCTGAGCAGAAAATCAGCGATCCGCATAAGAGCCGGAAGCGATGTGTCTGTGCACATTCGGATATGCTATGATGTAACCGTACAATGGCGTGAGGTTTGAATTGGTAGGCTGCTCGTCAAACTGAGTTCAGCAGAGGGGATCTGGGAAACGAAGAATGTGGCTGGAGACATGGGTCGTTGCTCTAAGCAGACAAGGTGAAGGACCGGCGAAAGTGTGATGATCGGTAGGGGCGTAACGACAGCAGAACCGTGGTAAGGCATGAGTTGCGTTAGGTAATAGGGGAGTGAAGCAGCAAGCGGACTGGCCATCCGCACCAGCTACAGAGTATGAATCATGTCGAGAATTGGAAGACCAACCAGACGATGACAGGTATTTGGTTATGAGGAACAAGGTTCGGGATTGCCCGGCCCATCTTCACTAGAAGCTGGGCATATACCTCGGATGCCAATCAAACAAGCTACAGGAGAACAGTCTAGGCATGTAGGTGTCCTAAGACGTTTGAAGAATAACGGGAAAACGCGTAATGAAGATGGCGAACTAGTGGGCGCGTCTTACCAGGGGGTAGTATTGATCAACTTGCTCTTCTGAAGGCTCGTGATGGCCGTTACTCCAGAGTCAACCACCAACCCGCAGCGCCTAGGGCAGGGCTGGAGCTGTGCTCAATAGCGAAAAGTATCGCGTACCTTGCGTGCTAAGAGACGAAGGGGACGGGAATGAAATAAGAAATTGTGGGGTAATGGTGCGACCCACGACGTGATGGAGGGCCTGGGGTAGGATGAGCGACGTAGGTTGTGCAGTAGGTGCAGATGGAGA